AACGATAAGTATCTATTTACCTTAAATGAAAATATAATATAATAAAATTACGGTACCTAACAAGAATGCAGCTTAATACGCTTTTGCTACTACTTTTCATGGTATTTTGCATATAATATGATACCTAAGCAAAAGTGGGAGAGTACTGGGTGCAAATATTTTAAAACTAGGAGCACGATTTGCAAATTTGGAAGAAATCAAAGGCAAATTTCAAATTGTTTGGATGCAGTTGCACCCCTAACTCATATGTAAATCCGACCCTGACTATTAGTACCTGACTTTTGGCTAGTTCTATAAGCCTTGATGGTGGAGCAATAACACCATTGTTGCAGGTGACAATCTGATTATTCTCGTTAATGTATTGAGCAAAGACAACAAGGAGAAAAGAAAGTGCTGTGGGATTTTGCATGTTGCTTCCTCCCGGCTTGAAAAGAAGCCCACCTAAGATGGCAGCAAACTCAACAAGATTAATGCAGGCAAAATTACAGATCACATTTCAAAGCACTTACTTTGAAAGATGAATTGCTTATGAAAGTTCATTTGGCATTTATAAGTTCAGGTCCTCACCATGGGAGTAATTCACAGATTTGGTGGGTGATTCAGGTAGCACTGTGCAGACAAAATCTTGAGCCTTCTTGTGGTAGGGAACTAGATGTTGGTTTTGGCTCTTGAGAAAGTCCTGCACCAACAAACGGGTTTCAAAGTTGAAAACACATACACCATAATGGAATGAAATTATATTACTTAGGGTTCTACTACTAGTTTGACCATTAAATATACCTTGTAAAGGAGCACATAGATGCCTGCATGCTTATCATCCCACCCAAATTCACCCACTCCTGCACCTTTACTAGACTCCAGCCAAAGAATATTTCTAGCAACGTATTCCCAATGCCATGTGCTATTAGAGGCCCTATAGATCCATGCTGCTCCCCAAATTAATTCATCCTGAAACATTAGCACACAACACCAAGCCTTATATTAATTGTTAACACATACTTTATTATCTTTCGAGAACAATCTAAAGGAGCAAAACTATACCTCATATCCACTCCAATCACAGTAGAATGGGCAGACAGCACCACCAAGACTAGTGTTGTAAGAGCCTTGATAAGTATCAGCAAATTCAAAAACCTAAGCAAATTAACAAAAGGATTAAATGATTTTTTTAGTTTTGATAAAGTATTTATTGAAGGATAAAAGAGACCATTACCATAACCGATCTGTTGAAAAGCACATCAGCATAAACGGGATCAGATTCTCTAAAGACGATGGATGCAGCTGCCAATGCGTTGAAAAGCACATCAGCATAAACGGGATCAGATTCTCTAAAGACGATGGATGCAGCTGCCACCAATGCGGCAGCAGTCTCAGCGGCAACCTCAGAACCGGGATTTTGACTGTCAATAACATAGACAGTGCGAGCAGTGTCCATGTCTTCAGGCCTTTGCCAACAGTTATGATCAGCCAGAGGATCACCGACCCCAACATAGACTTTATTAGGCTCAGAAGTAGCCTTAAGCAAGTAGTCAGTCCCCCATCTCACTGCTGCCATAGCATGGAAAATTTCAGGGCCCATGTCCATGCCAAATTCTATGATGCTCCATGACAAGATTGTAGTTGTATAAGCCATTGGAAATCCAAACTTCAAGTTGTCGCCGGCATCATAATATCCACCAACCAAATCTACCTGTTAATGAAGAAATAAAAATTAAATAAAAATAAATTAGCTTAGGCAATATGGATGTTGTCTAATTGAAAAGATTTGGGCCGCTATTATTAACGTTATTTTGACTGAAACTTTAGGTTCTGAGCAAACTGAAAAACAATTTTACATATGTACCTATTACTGTAAACCCCTTTCTTTGTGGTATATATTGGGGCTGTTTGTTTGTCTAAGGGCCCGTTTGGTTGGTTTCCTAAAATCAAAGAAAATGAAATCGGTATAAGGAAATCAATAAAATAATATTTTTATCCATTTCCATCCCTAAAACTCACCCATAACATCCAATAAAATATTATTTTTAATTTTTTATCATCCAACTCATCTCATTTCATCTCCTTTCTTACCTTTAAAAATAAACCAAACATAAGAAATGTGTCACATCATTCAACTCATCACATCTCATCTTATCTCATTTTTAAAAATCACACACATCATCCAATAATATTGTGACAACTCATCTCATCTCATTAAACCTTCATTTCCATCCATTTCCTCAAAAAAAACAAGAAATTAATTTCCTTAAGTATGTGTCACATCATCCAATAATATACCTCCAACTCATCTCATCTCATCTATTTTCTTATTTTTAAAAACGAACCAAACACAAACAACCTCAAAACATCATCAATAATATACCTCCAATTCATTTCCTTATTTTTTTTAACCAACCAAACAACCTCAAAACAATTTTTTTTAAAAATCACTCACATCATCCAATAATAATGTGACAACTCATCTCATCTCATCTCATCTCTTATTTTATAATTTCCTTCTTTTTTAAACCAACCAAACAACCTCAAAACAATTATTTTAGGAAATAGGTTTCCTATTCTTTGATTTTCCATTCTTTTTTGCGAAACACGAACAGCCCCTAAAAAAAGAGGGAAATCAAAGAATAGGAAACCTATTTCATAGAAATTTTATTTTGAGGTTGTTTGGTTGGAAAAAAAGAAGGAAATTAAAGAATAGGAGATGAGATGAGATGAGTTGTCGTCATATTATTGGATGATGTGAGTGATTTTTTAAGAAAACTTGTTTTGAGGTTGTTTGGTTGGCTAAAAAAAATAAGGAAATGTATTATAAGAAATCTATTTCCTATAATAGGTTCTTTTCTTGTGTTTGGTTCATTCTTAAAAATAAGAAAATAGATGAGATGAGATGAGTTGTCATTATATTATTGGATGATGTGACCCACACTTAAGAAAATCAATTTCCTTGTTTTTTTGGAGGAAATGGGTGGAGATGAAAGTTTAAGGAGATGAGATGAGTTGTCACCATATTATTGGATGATGTGATTGATTTTTAAATATGAGATGGGATGAGATGAGATGAGTTGGATGATGTGATGATAAAAATAATATTTTATTAGATGTTGGATGATAAAAGTAATATTTTATTGGATGAGTTGGATGATAAAATAATATTTTATTGAATGTTGGGGTAAGTTTTAGGGATGGAAATGGTTGAAAATAGGAAATGAGAGGTTTTCATGCTCCCATTTCCTATTCTTGGTTTTTAGGAAACCAACCAAACAGCCAACAACTAATCTGATGTATGACACATCTCAAACATGTAATATGATTTGGAGAGAAAATCTCTTTGAATGTTGCTATCACGGTCAAGTGGTACTACTCAGTTACAATTCTCCAAAAGTATTTCCATATGGAAAGGAAGCGAAATATATAAACGGGGAAGTGAGTTGGGATGGAATAGATAAAAGAGTTTCAAGAACCTTATATAAAGGTTTATAAATGGTTCATATTAGTGTTATAGAGAGGGTACCAGGAAGAGAATGTAAATAAAAAAAACTTGACAAGATGACAATTGCTTAAATAACTAGACAAAAAGACTTAATGTAGAATAAACAATAATTTTGAAACAATAAAGATGTAAAGCCCGACAATAGGCATACAACAAAAAACTAATTAATATACAAAATGAATCACAAAATACAAGCTTCACATTAGTATAACTCCCAATGAAATCCAATTTCTTGTGAATATGAGATTATAGACATGATCATGTGGTTAAGACAAAAGAAGAGGGAATTGTACGTGGTTTGCGCAGGTAATTGTACCTATGCACATGCACACCATGCACACACAAGGGATGCACACGAGAGGGAGGGAGGGGGAGAGAGAGAGAACCTCAATGTATTGACCATCTTGAAGCGCAGAATTTTTTCGCCAAGCCATCCTCTGTGAGGAGGGGAGTTTTCCAGATCTTTGCCCTTCAAAGAACATGATACTCTTCCAAAGAGCTTCTGCATAATTATTTTGGGTTTGTCCCACGTCTCCTGTCAAACTCCCACATACATTTAATGCTAATACGCCTACAAAAACCAACAAAACAGAAAAGTAAAAGCTTTTTGTATTTCTCATTCTCCTCACGCTTTATAGCATTCACTTACAAAAGGTTGATGGACTATTGGCTATCACAATATAAATAATGAATATTATGTAAAGTTTGTTAGATTCATTGAATTACTCAATTAATATTAGAAATGTTAGATTGACATAATAAGGAGTAAAAACTATATCATGGGAATTCAATTGAGCAATATTCTAGACATACTCTGTTAAATCACTAAAATGGAAAGCTATTTAGTTAGCTATTTTACCATGACAATAGAAGCAACATTGGCCATTTTCCATTTCTAGAAAGAAAACATAAGAAGGTGAAGACGATGCAATGCATCTATGAATGTGAGAGCACGTCACAATTATTGTGTTCCTTATATTATGGTTTGCTAAAATGTCTGCCTTATATTTTCCAATAGACCTACAATAGTTAATGTTTACATTCTTTCGCCTTTCTAGAAATAGCCAAAATGCACCTGATCATGTGAACATCCTATCTTGGACAAAATTGTTTGATTTCCCCAGAAAAGTCGTGATATTTTATACTATGTATTCACTTTGTTAGACATGATGTTGTTGGTCTTGAGAGTGGAGATCCAAACCTAGAATCAAAATCAATAATTGCATGAAAATTCAAGACAGACCATGGGTGTGGTGTCTGCCACACCCTGGTGTGGCAGAATCTGCGCTGTCTGCCATAAGTGTGGTGTCTGCCACATTAGGGTGTGGCAGACTCTGCCCTGTCTGCCATGGGTGTGGTGTCTGTCACACCAGGGTGTGACAGACTCGTTTTAGAATTCTAATTTGTTTGGGATTGTGTTTGTTATAAATAGAAACACGTTCCTCAAGGGTTTAGGAGAGAAAAAGAGCACGAAAAAAGAGGATTTTGAGGGCTCTTTGGGATTAGAAATCTTAGAAAGAGACCAATTGCAAGCATTGTAATCTTCTTTAAGTAATAAAAGAATTGTGTGGTGTGGCTCCCGAGGACGTAGGCACGTTGCCGAATCTCGTTAAATCTGGTGTGTTCTTTCTTGTTCCTATTTCCTACAAGTTTTTATCTTTAATTTGTAGTGAATTTCTTTCTTTCTCAACTCTCAAACACAAGACCCGGAAGGGTACGGATTTGATTTGATTGTTTCGAATCCCCAACAACTGGTATCAGAGCTTCGTTCAGCAAATTTATGAGAAAGAGAGCCATGGCAGAGGAAATCAAATCTAAGATTGAGAAGTTTGACGGTTCAGACTTCGCCTACTGGAAGTCGCAGATGGAGGACTATCTGTACCGGAAGGACTTGTATCGTCCGTTGATGGGCAAGGAAAAGGGACAGAAAAAAGAGGAGTCAGATGATGATTGGGAGATACTGGATAGGAAGGCTCTAGGACAAATTCGGTTGTCGCTCGCCAAATCAGTAGCTCACAATATTTTGAAGGAGAAGACGACGGTGGGGCTTATGGAAGCGCTCGCGAAGATGTACGAGCAACCGTCGGCAGCAAATAAGGTGCATCTCGTTAAAACTTTTTTCAATCTCAAGATGACAGAAGGACGGTCCTTCACGATGCACCTCAGCGAGTTCAACATGATTGTTGATCAGCTTATCTCTGTGGACATCACATTTGATGACGAAGTGCAAGCCCTATTGATTCTATCGCAGTTGCCGGATAGTTAGGCAGGTTGAGTGACGACAATCAGCAATTCGGCGGGAAAGAAGAAGTTGAAGCTGAGTGAGGTTGTTAGCATGATTCTATCCGAGGAGGTTAGAAGGAAATCGTCCGAATCAGAAGGTTCAGGTTCAGCTTTAAATTTCGAGCAGAGAGGCAGAAGCCAGAAGAAAGGAAATCAGAACAGGAATCGGCCGAAATCAGTGAAGAAGAGGTCGAACTCTAAGGTTAGGCCTATCAAAGAGAAGTGTTAGAACTACGGCCAGGAGGGCCATATGTCTTCAGTCTGTAAAAGTCCAACGAATGATGCGGGTGAGCAGGAGGCTCATATCGTGCAGGATGCCTTGATCGTTGCTATGGATAGCGACTTGGATTCTTGGGTCATTGATTCAGGAGTCTCTTTCCACGCCACTGCTAACAGGAAGCTCTTTCAGAATTATGTAGCAGTGGACTTTAAAAAAGTGTATTTAGGGAATAACGAGCCCTATAATATTGTTAGAAAGAGTGAAGTGCAGATTCAGATGAAGGGCTCTAAGTGGACCTTGAAGAACGTGAGACACGTGCCGAAGCTAAAGAGGAATCTTGTTTCGGTGGGACAGCTTGCCGCAGAAGGCTATGTTTCGACATTCACAGGGATTCGTGGAGAATCTCCAATGGTACGATGATAGTTGCTCGAGGCAACAAGTTAGAAACTCTCTACCTCACCTTACATGCGAGTGACACCCTGGCAATTGCAGCTGGCAAAGAGAGTACAGATCTGTAGCACAACAGGCTAGGACACATGAGCGAAAAGGGGATGAAGATTTTGCATTCATAAGGAAAGCTAACTAGGATCGACGCCGTGGAAGTCGGGGTTTGTGAAGACTGTATCTTTGGGAAGCAGAAAAGGGTTAGTTTTCAGAAGGGTGGAAGGTCACCTAAGACTCAGAAGCTAGAGTTGATTCATACAGATGTATGGGGTCCAGTCAGTGTGTCTTCTGTTGGCGGTTCGAGATATTATGTCACCTTCATCGACGATCACTCGAGGAAGGTGTGGATTTACTTCATGAAGCACAAGTCAGAGGTGTTTGGAATCTTCAAGAAGTGGAAGGTCATGGTGGAGAACGAGACAGATCTGAAGGTGAAGTGTCTGAGATCAGACAATGGAGGGGAATACGAGTTGGAGGAGTTCAAGAGGTTCTGTGCTACGAATGGTATTCGCTTAGAGAGGACTACTCCAGGGACGTTGCAGCAGAACGACATTGCGGAGAGGATGAACAGGACCTTGATAGAGCGTGCCGGAGCATGCGATTACATGCAGGTCCGCCTAAGACATTTTGGACGGATGCAGTGCATACGACAACCTACCTTATTAATCACGGGCCATCAGTTCCATTAGATTTTGGGATTCCAGAGGAGGTTTGGAGTGGCAAGAAGATAAATCTCTCACACTTGTGGGTATTTGGTTGTGTGGCTTATGTTCATAGCAATGACCATGTCAGGGACAAGCTAGAAGCTAAGTCACAGAAGTGCACATTTATTGGATACGGCATTGATGAGTTCGGGTATCGTCTTTGGGATGAGAAGAATAGGAAGATCATCAGAAGCAGGGACGTGATATTCAATGAAGAGGTGATGTACAAGAACAGGGAAGATGCCAAGGATAGCCAAAGCAGTAGGAGCAGCATTTCAGATACAGATGGATCTGAGTACATGGATATAGAGGAACTTCCAGATAATGGTGATGATGTTTGTTCTGATCAGAGAATGGAGGAGGCTCCAGGTGCAGAAGAAACTACCCAGCGCATGGAGCTTAGGAGGTCATCCATAGTACCCAAATCAAATCCCAGATATCTTTTATCTCTTGACTATTTATTGTTGACAGATAGCGGTGAGCCAGAGTGTTATGAAGAGGCAATGCAAGTGAGTGAATCTCAGCAGTGGGAGCATGCGATGCAAGAGGAGATGGATTCTCTACTCACTAATGAGACATAGGAGTTAGCCCATCTACCTGCACAGAAGAAAGTCTTACATAACAAATGGGTCTACCGGGTCAAGCAAGAGAGTGATGGAAGCAAGGGATTCAAGGCCATATTAGTAGTGAAGGGGTTTCAACAGCGGGAAGGAGTAGACTGCACGGAGATATTTTCCCCTATTGTGAAACTCACAACCATCATAGTAGTGTTGAGTTTGGTGGTTGCAGAAGACCTCTTTTTTGAGCAGTTAGATGTGAAGACTGTCTTTCTTCATGGTGACTTGGATGAAGAAATCTACATGAAGCAGCCTGTTGGTTTCATTAAAGAAGGAAAGGAAGAGATGGTGTGCAAGCTCAAGAAGAGCTTATATGGTTTGAAACAGACTCCGAGACAGTGGTATAAGAAGTTTGATAACTTCATGCAGAACAATGGTTACAGAATATGTAATTCGGATCATTGCTGTTATTTCAAAAGGTTCGAGTCCAGCTTTATTATTTTGTTATTGTATGTTGATGACATGTTGGTAGCAGGATCGTGTTTGGAGGAGATAAACAGTTTGAAGAAGCAGCTAGCAAAGAAATTTACAATGAAGGATCTGGGTGCAGCGAAGCAGATTCTAGGGATGCGAATCAGTAGGGATGAAACTGAAGGGACATTGAGATTGAGCCAAGCTGAATACATTGAGAAGGTACTTCAGAGGTTCAACATGTAGAATGCTAAAGTTGTTAGCACACCCCTTGGAAGTCAGTTCAAGCTATCTGAGGAGCAATCGCCTAAGACAGATGCAGATAGAGAGCATATGAGCAGGGTGCCATATTCTTCCGTCATTGGGAGTCTCATGTACGCGATGGTTTGCACGAGGCCGGACATCGCTCATGCAGTGAGAGTTGTGAGCAGATTTGCAAGCAATCCAGGGAAGCAGCATTGGGAGACCGTGAAGTGGATATTACGACACTTGAGGGGAACAACAAATAAACCACTATGTTTCAGGAGTAAGGAGTTGGTGCTGCAGGGATACGTTGATGCGGACTTCGTCGGTGATCATGATACGATGCGAAGCACCACGGAGTATGTTTATACCTTAGCGTCGACAGCAGTGAGCTGGGTCTCACGTCTGTAAAGGATTATGACTTTATCTACAACCGAGGCTGAGTATGTCGCGGTGACCGAAGCAAGCAAGGAGATGATCTGGTTGAACGGGTGCTTGGAAGAGTTGGATTTGAAGTAAGGGAGAGGAGTTCTTTATTGTGACAGTCAGAGCGCTATATATCTTGCCAAGAATCCAATATATCATGCCAGAACGAAGCACATCGACGTCAAATATCATTTTATACGCTCGCTAGTTGAAGACGAAAAGTTATATTTAATGAAGATTTTGGGGAGTCAAAATCCGGCGGACATATTGACGAAGGCAGTCACCATTGAGAAGAATGTTGATGATTGAAGAATGGATTTTTCCAAGTAGGAGAAGATGCTTGCGAAGAAGGCGGAGTTCGGGACAGCTCATTGATGATGGTTTGATCTCCAAGTGGGAGATTATTGGTCTTGAGAGTGGAGACCCAAACCTAGAATCAAAATCAATAATCACATGAAAATTCAAGACAGGTCATGGGTGTGGTGTCTGCCACAACATTGTGTGGCAGAATTTCCCCTGTCTGTCATGGGTGTGGTGTCTGTCAC